CTCTCTTCTGCATGTTGATACAAAATCTTCACTTGGAAACATTTATAATAAAACTCAGTAATGCCTTTTAGGACATATTACCTACATAACCAGAACATTGCCTTATTCCTGTATGTTTTCAAGGATAAGGATAATATCTTTGCAGCAGCTTGCAAGAGAAGATAATTCAGTTAAGATACATTAGGAAGCTCATTTGACTCTGTATCCTCTACAAATTAATGATGACCAGACAATTTACTCTGATAAAACTAAGCTGACTGAATTTCTGTAACACTGATTTGTACTAGGTTTGTATTTTGACATACTAGTTTTCATTCTCTTTCCAAAATATATTTTTTATTAAATTATAAAAATTTCCAAAAATCATACACACACACACACACACACACACACACACACACACACAGAGAATACATTAAGGAAAATGTTTTTAAATTTTGGAAGAGAAAAATATGGAATATTTTTCATACCTAAAAAGGTATGTAAAGAACCTCAGTAATAGTTCAAAAATTGCTTATAACTAGGAAAAGGCTAGTTATGCTCCTATCTAGTACAAACTATTTTTAAATTTTATTTATTTATTTAGAGAGAGGGAAAAAGAGAGGGGAGAAAGAGAGAGAGAGAACACGAGCGGGTGAGGGTGAAAGAGAGAAGGAGAGGGAATCTCAGACTGTCTGCCAGCACAGAGCTCAAAGCAGGGCTCCAAATCATGAACTGTGAGGTCATGACCTGAGCTGAAATCAAGAGTCTGATGTTTAACTTGCTGAGCCACCCAGACACCCCATAGTTTTTAATTATGGCAGTTAAAAACATAAATGATTTATTTATTTTATAACTGGAAGTTGTACCTTTCAATCCCTTTCACCTATTTCACCCCTCCCCCAACCGACCTTCCCTCTGGCAACACAGAGATGAAAAATACAGCATCAGGAATACAGTCAATACTATTGTAATAATGTTATATGATGACAGAAGGTAACTACATTTAAGGTGGTGAGCAGTGAGTAATTTATAGAATTGTCAAATCATTATGCTGTATACCTGAAACTAATATGGCTTTGTATGTAAACTATACTTCAATAATATTTTTTTAAATGTAGATGAAATAAGCAGCTATATGGACCTCTAAGTATTTCTAGACAAGCCTTAAACATATGTATTTACATTGTTAGGACAGTTAAAATGTCACCAGGATAAAACTGTGACTGATAAGCTTCAATCTAATATCAGATGAAATAGTGTGAAAGACTTTGAAAGAGTAAAAAAACAAAAATTACTGGGAATGCTGTCTGGTGCACCCTTCAGAGTTATCTGTACCTTTCAATCTCTTTGATCTATTTTACAACTTTATAAGTTGAATAAAACTATGAGTAATACAGATGATTCTTGTCTATAAAGTATAAGTGAATTTTGTCCAATGGAGTTATAATTGATTATTGCCAGTGGATAATGACTAAATTTATTGTGGCATTCCTGATTGCCTTTACATATACACGCTTTTAGAACTGTCATTTGAACTGGTTATAACATCTTACTGGTTCTTTAATGAGTTAAATAAAATCTTTGATGTGTTTATTTTATATTTGAGTAACAGTTTTACATTCTAAAAAAATATCCTTTGTAAAGAAGATGTGGTATATATACAATGGAATATTATTCATCCATAAAAAGAAGGAAATCTTGCTATTTGCAACAACATGGATGGACTTGAGGACACTATACTAAGTAAAATAAGTCAGAAAGACAAATATTACATGATCTCACCTATATGTGGAATCTAAACAAGCAAACAAACAGAGCTCACAGATATAGAGAACACATTGGTGCTTGCCAGAGGTAGGGGATGGGGAGTGGGTAAAACATAAGGGGTCAAAAGGTACAAACTTCTAGTTATAAAATAAGTAAGTTATGTTATGTAATGTACAGCATGGTGACTATAGTTAATAATACTTGTATTGCATATTTAAAAGTTGCTGAAAAATTAATCTTAAAAGTTCTCATCACAAGAAAAACAATTGTAATTATGTGTGGTGACAGATGTTAACTAGATTTAGTGTGATTATTTTGCAATATATACAACTATTAAAACATGGTGTACACCTGAAACTAATAGAATGATATATGCTAATTATACCTCAACAAAAAGATCCTTTGAAAATTAATAAAGCTTAAATTTACTAAATATAGCTTAATATATTTTGAATCAATACTAATTTTCAGAGCCTTTGCACAAAATCATCATGAAACAATTTTAAAAAAATTTGCATTTGTTTGAGACTTCTTTGTCCAAAATGTATTCTGAGAATTAGTGTTCTATGGCATTTCTCAAAAAGCAGGGTCTGTGGTAAAACGCATGTTTAAAATGCAATTTTTTTTTCCTGGTAGTATTCCTAATGGTCTTTGACATGTGACTATCCACTGAACTTTACAGGCCATTTCTAATCCAATTTAATGTGTCTTAAGCAATTATACTTTCAACTACTCTCCTTCATAAACCTCTGCTGTAAGTAGAACAGTATTCACTACATCCTTCCTCTCCCCCCACATTTCCTATTCTGAGCTCTCCAATTTTGCTCATCCATTCTGCCAATAATAATTTCCTCTCAGCTTTCTTCTTTTCCAAATTCAAATTCACAGTTGTAAATTTCCTACTTCTATGTTTTGTAATTATTCAAATATACGCTTATATTTGCCATCGAACTGTGGGTTCTTAGAGGATCAAGAATATGTTATTAATTTTTGTATGAGTGTAGGGAAGAACTGAAATGAATTAACACTTTGATGTTTAGTCATGCCCTCTCTTTGAAGGTATCTTAGATTACTCTCATCTATTTATTACCTACCATTTAACTGGAAATTTTAATTTGGTCCTTTGATAGTTTTTATATTATTGTTTGTATTATTATTTAACTCTGGCAGTCTTATTGCCTGATGACTTGTCTCACCTAGATTTTCAGTTTCTTGGGGCCAAATAATCTTTATGTCCCCACATCACCTGACATCTTCAACAGCTGAAAGTGAATTACCATGTGAATAATTCTAACTGAAGGTAAGTATTCCTCAGTAGAAATGCCAATGATCACAGAGAGAAAGAAAAAAATGTGTACGAAAAATTTATTATCATGAAATAAGAACTTGTTCTTAGATATGTATTTTAATAGCTAGTGAAGCTATTCTCAAAACTTGGTTAATTATATTTTTCGTATATATTTAATAATTCTGGCTACATATCTTCACTATACAAGCATTTTGAAAAAAAATATGCATTATTTCTCATTGCAATGGCTTAAGTATTAATAAGTGTACTTAATACTTAAGCTACTGGTGTAGGTATGGTAAAATTTGCCATGCCCCACAGGCTCTAGTATATGACTTAAATGGACTTACATACAACCATTACTAATTTAAAAACTGGGTTTCAAATTTTTTTTACCTATTTTCTTCAATAAATAATTATGCAATAATTTTGGAAGCTAAGCATTGTACTAGATACTGATATGGAAAGATAGACCAAATTATCTTATAAAGGACTTTACAAGCTAACCTGATATAGGCTGTCTTGGGATAACTGCTATAACTGAGATTTAAATAAAGTGTTATGAAAGAACTGCCAAATGAAAAGGATTAATTCAGACTGGAAGAGCAGTTGGGGAAGGGTTAAAAGTGAAGATATTATTTCAGTTGGTTACTAAAGGATGAATAATAAAAGGATGAATTTTGTCAGTGGTTTTACAGTTCATACACTGCATGATGGGAACAAATAGGGGCGAAACACAGCCACACTCAGCAAGCATCAGCCACTAGTGATGTTGTCTCCCTGGAGAAACAATAACAAGTATTTTATCCTCACCAATCTGAGCACTCCAAAGCATTCTAATTTGCATAATAACATAGAGGCTTGTGTTGCATAATGATACGTAGATAGCACTAGCATTGGTGGGCTGGTAGTACCCTTTCAGAGTGCATATTTGAAGAAAAAGGGGATAGTATTAGTAAGGTCACTGGATTAAGAAACTCCAAATCTGAGTAGGGAGTACAGAATAATTTAATCTATCAGGAGCAAATCCAGAGTGCTGTTAGGGGAAGAGAGAGGAAGCTATGGCAAAAAATTTAGTGAGATGAGTCTGGATAAACTGGAACAAAGCATGGTGTCTGAAATGCCACTTAGATTAGATTTTATACTGTGGACAACTGCAAGGTGTCAATATACACAAGTAGGAAGTAACATGATCAGAACTAATTTTTTTTAAATATGAAATTTATTGTCAAATTGGTTTCCATACAACACCCAGTGCTCATCCCAACAGATGCCCTCCTCAATACCCATCACCCGCCCTCCCCTCCCTCCCACCCCCCATCAACTCTCAGTTTTTTCTCAGTTTTTAAAAAGAAAAAGAAAAAAAGGGAAAAAGAAAAAAATAATAAAAAAGGCTAGAGAGGGAGGGAGCCAAAACAAAAACAAAAGATCAGAACTAAATTTTAAAGACAGTTGAGGCTTGTAGGCTGGAGAACCGCTATGGGTTGAGGAAAGGAAGTCTGGAGAATGGAGATGGAACTTTCACCTTGAAGGATAAAAGGTGAATTCTTAGAGTGATTATGACAGTGTGCATTAGAATGGGAAAAGCGGGATCTAAAAGGATCAGTTTGAGACTCCCTTTAGCAGAAAAATGATTAAGGAAACATACTGGATATTGGTGATGAGACAGACTGAGTTGTAAAAGACACTGAGATTTCTAGCACTGTCAAGAGGCTAATGATGATGCCATTTATGATAAGAAAAACCATTGTTTGAGAAGCAGGTTTTACCGGATAAGGGTGGAGGTGGGATGAGATACAGGATACAGTCGTTTTATTGTCTCATCTTTGTTGTAGTTTCTATTTTTTCAAAGAGAATATATCATGTTGTAAACAAAGTACTGTTTATTAGATCTCAGCACTTAGTATGCAATATTCACATGTAATGGACTTAAAAGTTTCTATATTATCAAGACTGTACTTACCTAATTTCCTTCATTTGTTTAAGTAAATACTTTTGATATTTTTCCATTTCTAGTCTTTGCTGAACAATCAGACTTTTCTCTTGTAAGACAGCCTGATTCTTCCTCAATCTGTCCATTTTAATCATTCCTTTGCATAAAAGAGTGCGCTCATTACTTATGTTTTGAATTAATAAACGGTCTTCAGCCTTTTGTTTTTTTTCTTTCAGAAACCGAGCTCTCCTCTCTTTAACTTTTTCAAGGTAATTGAATCTGTCCTGCCAAAGTTGTTGTAAACCATTCCGAATTGTCTCATTATCTTTTGCAATTAGTTTTTGTGCAGCATTTTTTTTCTTATTTAAGTTTTCTTGAACAGCTAAGCTAACTCTTTCCTGGGCAACTTGTGCCAGAGTTACAGCTGTTATTTTTTTTTTATGGCTTTCCTGCTTCTTTTGTTCGGAATAACATTTATCAATATCACAAAGTGTTCGGAGTTTTATACCAGTTCTGTGTGTTATAAAAAACTCTTTTCTTACATTACCCTTCAACAGCATGTCCTTTTTTGTAATTTCTGGTTTTTGATGAGTGGTAGAAAATGGCTGGACATATGTAGGAAAATAATCTTGCTCCTTTTCTTTCAATAATGCAGCATACTTGAGTGAACCTGAAGTATGTATGGGTAGTTTGAACACTGATATCCTAAAGCTGGCATCCAATTCTTCACTTTCAGTTTCATCTTCAGATTCCTTCTGACCTACACCACAGGGAAGACAAATATAATACAATATGTAAGTGCTAAGCACAGTTTATTTTCTGTCCCTATTATTTTGAAAGCTACATTAATAAAGTTGACAAAAACCTGTCATTGGCGCTATTAAGAAACATTTTTCCCTACTGATGTTCTTTTTAAACTTGTGTTTTAATAGTGATTTTGGAGAGGGAAATCACTATTGAAACCATTTAACATAAAAATGCACTGATTCCTATATTTCCTACATTATTTCTCACAATTACTTAACTTGCAATAACTCAATAGCAGTATCTTATCTTACATTTAGTACTTCACCATGCATATTATTTTTAGATATATTTATTATCTCATATTGCAAAGGAATTTGTAATCCATTTTACCATATTTTTCTTAATTCTGGTGGGAACTAATAGCGGCCATTAACATTGCTTTTTCTTATATTTGACACATGAATCCCTCAGCCTCCTTTGCTATTATGTGTGGTGATGAGACTAAGTCCTCTACAGTGAAATGTGGGCAGAAGTGATATGTGTCATTTCCAGCTCAAGACTATTAAGAAACAAATATATCTTTTCTATATTTTCTTTCTTTTTCCGACTCACTGTACAGAGATAAGAATAAGGCCCTAGAAGATGGTGAATCCACAAGGTGGAAAGTCCCTGGCTCCCAGGATCACTGCTTGAAAAACTACTCACTGGCCAGGATTAGTCAAACTTGGACTCATATAAACTAGAAATAAATGGCAATTATGTTTGAGTCAATATATATTTCTGGGTCTATTTGTTATTATAGCCAACCTAACTAATATAATAGCTTGAATCACATTATTGTTCACATATTTATTTTCTGATAAACCTATTTATGAATTCAGTATCAGGTGGCAAATACAGGTTAGAAAAAAGTTATGCTTATTAGTCTTAGAAAAAAGATGTTTTCCATATTTGACTAATTCCCTCTATTAAAATTACATCTCTACTAACCGTAGTCTACAAAGATTTTAGTTTTTCTAATAGAAAATTCTCTTAAAGTCTTTATATGTCAAATGCAAATCTGATGGTGGAGGTTTTACGGAAGTTGAGGTGATCATAAAGAAGGTAGGACCTGTGGTCTAGGCAGGCAGTAGGGAAGAAGCAAATAGGCATGATTTTCATTAGAGGCCATAAGAACGTCAACATCAGAAAAGGAAGCAGAGGCGAAAATGAAGTAGAAAATCAAGTCTAGCAAATAAAAAAGGTAATTCACCAGAATACAAAGTCATCCAGGGGAGCCTGGGTGGCTCAGTCAGTTGAGACTCTGACTTTGGCTCAGGTCATGATCTCACGGTTTGTGAGTTCGAGCCCCAAGTCGGGTTCTATGCTGACAGTTCAGAGCCTGGAGCCTGCTTAGAATTCTGTGTCTCCCTCTCTCTCTGCCCCTCCCCCACTCATGCTCTGTCTCTCTCTCTCTCTCTCTCTCTCTCTCAAAAATTCATAAATATTTCAAAAAATTTTTTTTAATTAAAAGAAAAAAAGTTTGGGTCCAAAGCAAGGCACTAGATACAAAGGGACAAAATCCAGAATTTCAGTTGTAAAGTAAATAGGGTATGGTCTGGGCAACTACCTAGAAAAAGTACTCTCTTGTGTTATTTCATTTTATGTATAAATCCTGGCATGAGAAAGCTGGCCAAGAATAAAAGACTAGGGATAGAAAATACAAACTAATAAATTAAAGTTCTGGTTATTAATTTCAATTCATATGGGGGATTGGGATTTTTCCCCCCCATACCATCAAAATATGTTCCAACACCAACTGGGTGTCCTGAAATTCAACTCAAATACGACAACATCTACCTGGAGACAGGATCACATCCCACAGGTTAAAGGTTCAGTCCTAAAAGAATCCCTATCATCTTCAGATGCCAATAAGTCCAGGTTATCACCCGTGCTTCTGACCAACTGGCTATAGATTGGAGGTTCCACGAACCTCCTCTGGGTTCAATTTGCTAGAGTGGCTCAAAGAATTCAGAGAAACATTTTACTTACTATATTATTGGTTTATGGTAAAAGGATGTAACAACTCACCACCAGCCAAACAGAAGAGATACATAGGGGAAGGTATGGGAAAAGGGCACAAAACTTCCATGCTCCTTCTCCAAGCACATCACTGTACAAATCTCCACGTATTCACCAACATGGAAGCTCTCAGAACCCAGTCCTTTGGAGTTTTTATGAAGGCTTCATTACTAGGCATGGTTGATTCAATCATTGGCCATTGAGGATTGAATTCGATCTCCCTCCCCTCTCCTCTTTCCAGAGGTTGAGGGTTGGGACTAAAATTTCCAAACTCTAACCATGTGGTTGGTTCTCCTAACAACCAGCCTCATCCTTGGGTGTGATCTAAAAATCACCTCACTAAGTAAGTTCAGCTTCTTTAATTATAGTTTTGTAGGTGAAAAGCTCAACTTGACTAAGATGAATAAATATGTTGGTACTACCTACTATGAGCTAGAATCTTCAAAAAATGAAGACAGTGATGGCTCAAGAAACCTTATAGTATAGTAGTGGAGGCAAATAAGTAAAGCAGATTTCTTCAAAATATTGTGGCAAATGTTAAGATAAAAGTATGTATACACAGGAAGTGTTGAAAACATAGAAGAAAGACACTTCACCCTATCTGGGTTAGGGTAGGCAGTTGTCAGCAAAACTGCTCTGGAGAAGGTAACAGCTGGGTTAGTTTTAAGAAGAGTATTTGTTTTACACTTGTAATACTATAAGGCCCACCTTTTGCGTATATGGGAAAATTCAATTAATTTGCAAAGGTGTGGGCAAGAGAATAGGAAACAAGGCATTCCCAGGGGATGGGAGGAGAGTGACAATCAAAGATGCAGAAGTGAAAAAAAGAAAAAATATGTGAAATTTTGTTTTATAAAATATAAAGTCAGAAGCTATCATAAGCAGTTAGTTGCTACAGATGTCTAGCAAACAGGTAGGTAAATGAGCTGAATCTAAATGATGTAAGAGAGGGCATATCTGGAGACAAATATTTGGAGCCAATAACAGAGATTTTTAGGTAAAACTATAAGCATAGTCAAGAGATAAAAGAGAAGTAAGGATGAAACATTGGGTAAAATTAATTTATTTTATTTTTTAGTTTTTAAATGTTTATTTATTTTTGAGGTGGTGGGGGTAGTGATCAGGGAGGGAAGAGACAGGGACACAGAGGATCCGAAGCTGGTAGGGAGGGGATTGATGTGGGGCTCAAGCTCACGAACTGTGAGATCATGACCTGAGTAGAAGTCTTAGGCTTAACCGTAGTCTGTGCCACCCAGGCACTCCAGGGAAAATGAATTTAATATGTACATACAGGTAAGCCAAAAAAAAAAAAAAAAAATCTGTGGCTATAGTTTCTTCACATGTGAGCTTCTAAAGAAATCATTATATGTAAAGAGCCTTGGTATACGTATACACCCATTTGCCCGTTTTTACCTATCGTCTGGTGAAATTTATTAACAGTGACTTCTTTCAGTCTCAGAAGCAATCCAATTTGGAAGATAAATTATACAGTCAACTTAGCTATAGGGACATTACCAAACAACAGACAAGAAGTAGGAGAGTTAACACTGTGCTGTCTGCATTGTCTTAAGTTACATTAATATCTTAGTGCAATGCCCAAGACTTGGTAGATATAAAATAAATGATTTTGTTCATACATAGGTTATGAGATCCTCAAGGCTCTATGAAAGTTGAGACAATGCTGGTTTTGTTCACTACTTTATACTAAGCACTTAGCAGAACGTTTGGTGGATGACAGGTTTTCAACAAATAGGTGTCTAATGAATATTTTTTCTACAGACAGCTAAGCCAATTCAGAGATACTCTTCATTTTGGGTGCTGGGTTGCTAATTTTAAATTTATACTTTCATCTTTTGTACCCTTAATTTTTATATTATTCCCTTTAAGAACCCTATACATCAAATATAATAGTCACAACTTCTGAATAAGACTTAAATACTTCTACTTCTTATCTTTGGCTCATGCTATCCCCACTTATTTGAAAGGTTCCATTTGCATCACCATCTATAAAAAGATTATTCATCTTGGGGCACCTGGGTGGCTCAGTCAGTTAGGCATCTGATTTTGGATTTTGGCTCAGGTCATGATCTCAGGGTTCGTGAGTTCAAGCCCAGCATCAGGCTCTGAGTTAGAGGGTGGAGCCTATTTGGAGTCCTCCTGCTCTCGCTCTCTCTCTCAAAAATAAATAAACTTAAAGATATTTTTAAAAGATCATGCATATTGAATAACATAAATACTGTCATTTATTGAACCCTTTCCATGTGGTAGTTACTAGGCTTACTTCTTTACATATATATTTAACATTTATTCAATATCGATAACCTTCTAAGGTAGATGTTATTGACCACAAATCGTAACAATACAGCTAATACATGCTGAGTTTTTGCTATGTGTCACAGTGCTCTGCATCCTTTAAATTATCTCATTTAGTTTCCTTAACAATCTTAGAGTTAAATACTGTACTATTTTTCATCCCCATCTATCAGATAAAAAAACTGAGTCTTAAAGAAATAGCCAATATGTTGGAGTAAGATCCTAACATACAGGTGATGTCCAACAACAAAACAAAGAACAAATACCTAAGAACTCTGGAGAATAAACAAAAACAAAAAAATGTGACCTGTTAAAAACATCAATATTCTCATAACAGAATCCAAAGTATATAACATTTGTGATGCTCACCATATAATCCAAAAAACATAATATGAATGATAAGTATATCATGAAAGGTATCACTTCATATAAAATACAGAAATCATGCAACCATATAGGCCATTTAGACTCTTCCTTTCTATATTTTATGTGAAGTAGTATAATATTAAGTAGATTGTGCAAAGTTAGATTTATATTATAATTTTTAGAGAAAATAAATATATAATGCAAAGAGGTCCAACTAAAAATCCAAAGGAAAAATTAAAACAGATTATAAAAATATTTGAATAAACAAAAAGA